TATTGAACCTCATCAGATTTCTTTTGGCCCAATCCTCCAATTTGTCTAGGTCCTTCTGTATCCTATCCCTCCCCTCCAGCGTATCTACCACTCCTCCCAGTTTAGTATCATCCGCAAATTTGCTGAGAGTGCAATCCACACCATCCTCCAGATCATTTATGAAGATATTGAACAAAACCGGCCCCAGGACCGACCCTTGGGGCACTCCACTTGATACCGGCTGCCAACTAGACATGGAGCCATTGATAACTACCCGTTGAGCCCGACAATCTAGCCAGCTTTCTACCCACCTTGTAGTGCATTCATCCAGCCCATACTTCCTTAACTTGCTGACAAGAATACTGTGGGAGACCGTGTCAAAAGCTTTGCTAAAGTCAAGAAACAATACATCCACTGCTTTCCCTTCATCCACAGAACCAGTAATCTCATCATAGAAGGCGATTAGATTAGTCAGGCATGACCTTCCCTTGGTGAATCCATGCTGGCTGTTCCTGATCACTTTCCTCTCATGCAAGTGCTTCAGGATTGATTCTTTGAGGACCTGCTCCATGATTTTTCCAGGGACTGAAGTGAGGCTGACTGGCCTGTAGTTCCCAGGATCCTCCTTCTTCCCTTTTTTAAAGATTGGCACTACATTAGCCTTTTTCCAGTCATCCGGGACTTCCCCGGTTCGCCACGACTTTTCAAAGATAATGGCCAATGGCTCTGCAATCACAGCCGCCAGTTCCTTCAGCACTCTCGGATGCAACTCGTCCGGCCCCATGGACTTGTGCACGTCCAGCTTTTCTAAATAGTCCCTAACCACCTCTATCTCCACAGAGGGCTGTCCATCTCTTCCCCATTTTGTGATGCCCAGCGTAGCAGTCTGGGAGCTGACCTTGTTAGTGAAAACAGAGGCAAAAAAAGCATTGAGTTCATTAGCTTTTTCCACATCCTCTGTCACTAGTTTGCCTCCCTCATTCAGTAAGGGGCCCACACATTCCTTGGCTTTCTTCTTGTTGCCAACATACCTGAAGAAACCCTTCTTGTTACTCTTGACATCTCTGGCTAGCTGCAGCTCCAGGTGCGATTTGGCCCTCCTGATAACATTCCTACATGCCCGAGCAATATTTTTATACTCTTCCCTGGTCATATGTCCAACCTTCCACTTCTTGTAAGCTTCTTTTTTATGTTTAAGATCCGCTAAGATTTCACCATTAAGCCAAGCTGGTCGCCTGCCATATTTACTATTCTTTCGACTCATCGGGATGGTTTGTCCCTGTAACCTCAACAGGGATTCCTCAGTTTCCCCTCCCTGCAGTTCCCAGCTGTTCTCCTACCATGCCCTCAGGGGCACCCCTCACCAGCTCCAGCAGCTGCCACTGAGGGACCCAGCAGGGCCAGCAAGCTCTGGCAGAAATGGGGAGCACATTTCCCCACATGACCCTCCACATTGCCTCTGAATGGCACCCCTGTGCAGGGGTGTTAAAAAGAGGGGTCATGCCCCCCCCCCCGGTTCCGCTGGGTCGTGTCCCCACTTGCCAGTAGAGCAGGGTTTGGTCTGGTCCCTCCTTGGCTGGGGACCTGAATGGAAACCAGTGAGCTGAAGGTGACTTAGGAGGGGGTGCTCTTCCCTTGCAGTCCTTGCACCAGCGCAGCCCTAGGGGGGCCTGTGCTGCAGGGCGTGGGGTATGGGCGCTCTCCCCTCGCAATTAGCGCTGGTCCAATGCACCCCCACAATGCTGGGGGGCACCGTGCTCCTTGTAGCTGCCTTTCCCTGACACCGGGAAGTCCTAGTGCGATTCTCACAGCAGGGGGTCTGCACTGTTGGGGGAAGTGCTGAGGGACCCCATGCCATGGGGGTCAGAGGGTCCATCACCGCACTGAGACTCCAGGGGGGCTCAGTCTCCATGAGTCAGGCACAGCTTGGCCTTTTCACTGCTCGCACCATCCATCTCCCTACAGGGCTTCTAAGCCCCCAGTCTCAGCCCCTCCCCATCTCTGCTGCATTCACCCGCCACCCACCATGGGGCGGGGCAGGGCAGGGCTAGGCCAGGTCAGGCCATTGTCCCACTGGCACAGCTGGGGTGGGAGGCCCAGAGAATTTAGTGACTGGACATGGAGTCACTTGCAGAGCCAGAAATTGAACCCCAGGACCCCAGCACTTGAGCTCCTGGGCTCTCTCCTCTCTGCACCCCCCTGTCATGTCTCCACAGGTAAGGTTCATTGGCCCAGACTTGGAACTGAGCTTGGGAGATCCTTTCGAAGTGTCGGACCCTCCCAGAGGGCCCCACGCTACCTTCAGGGAAAGCCACATGGTGTCACCGCTTAGCAGCCCTGCTTCACACCGTGATCTTCCTTCAGCAAGTCCATCTGGGTTGGAGCCCTCTGTGAGGCTTGAACCCCCAAAGGGAGCGATTCCCCCCATTCAGTACTTGCAGGGACTCAGCCAGCCTTGGCAAAGCAGGCAGGTTTATTCGGTGACTGGAACTCAGCGCAGGCCGACACAGCTCAAGGAAACGGAAGTTACAGCAGAGTTCCTTTGCGGGATCTCCGAGCCCCAGCCAAGCTGCGTGGGCCCCTTAGGTCCTGCTCTGTGCGTCTTTATCCCGTTCCCCTCTTTGTCTCTAGTTTTGCTCCTCCTCAGTCCTTTGTTCTTGGCCAGAGTATTGTCGCTCAGCCTCCTTCCTGAGAGGCAGAAAGTCTGTACAGCTCTGGGTCGCTGGGCCCCTGCATAGAGTAAACAGACATTTCCCCCCACCGATGCAGCATATAGGGGAGACTGAGGTGCATACAGTATTCATACAAAATATTACAGAAAAGTCCCACTCCGCCCCACCCTCCACCTGCCAGCCCACTAACAGCAGATTGGAGCTGGCATCCCCAGGAGGGCGAAGGCCCCCATGTCCTATTCCTTGCCCCACAATGGCCTGCTGGCGGAGTGGCACCACTCTGGGCCCCGCCGTGCAGACACAGCACACAGTAGCAAGTGTCTGGCCAGGAATTTGTCCATCTCTTCTCAGCGTGGCTCAGGGCTGCTGTTCTACCTTGTAACAGGCTGGTCGGTGCAGCCCCCCTGCTCTCACCCACTAGACTCCACTCCCCTCTCCTAGAGTTGGGGATAGAACCCAGGAGTCCTGACTAAAATTCCCTGCCTTGCTTGAACCCGCTTCACATCCACAGCCCAGACTATGGCTGGATTACCGCAGGGCCGAGAAACCCCAGTCATGCCCAGGACCCCCAAGTGCTCAGGTGCGGAACAAAAGGACGGAAGCTATCCCCAGAGAGCCCATGGTGCCCCACACCCAGCTCTGGAGATGGGCCCTGCCCCCCAGGACCTCTCAGCTCAGCCAGCGAGTTGGAGCGGCCTCCCTGGCATCCTGTAGTGTCGTCAGGGCTCCCAGGGGGCAGCTGGGCCTATGTCCCAGGGCCAATCTGCTTGCTTCCCGGGCACCTCAGCTCAGCCCGAGGTGAGCATCCCCTCCTGGTTCCTGTGCCCCCCTGCCTGGATCTTCTCCCTTTGTGTATGTAGCTGGGCCTGAACCCTGCACCCAGGCCCAGATGCTTGCAGCCCCCAGAGGAGCCCGCTAGGCGGTGCCTCCCTGCAGGGTTTACTGCATGACACAGGTCAGCTCCGGCTCCATGCGGATCCTGGATCCCAGTGATCCCACAGGGCCTCCGGCACAGTCCCTGGGCAGGCCCCCCTCACTTAGTGTCTCACTCTGTGACTAGGGTAAGTGACGTGGCTCGACTGCCTCCTGCGACTGAACCTTGGAGTCTTCAGCCCCCCTGCTTCACTTCGGGAGCCCCCTTCAGCGAGTCCACCTGGGTTGGACACCAGGGAGAGCCTTGTGCCCCAAAGGGAGCGTTCACCCTGCTGCAAACATCTGCAGGGACAGCAGAAGGGTTTGTTAGCTGGCTGGACCACAGAGCAGACAGTCCTTGGTTAGCACAGAGAGCTACAAGCGTGGTAAGCCCTTAGCCCTCGGACCCCTTTTGTCCCAGCTTCCGGCCACCCACACGCTGCAACCCTCTACCTGACCCCTCCTGAGCCCTTTGCTCCCCAACTGGTTACACCCAGCTGGCTTTCTGCTGAGGGGTCGGCCACCCATGGTCGTTAGGTACTAAGTACCAAAGGTCTCAGTAATTGGAGTGGCCATTATCTTCTCCGACCCTCCACAGACATGGGGCCGAGACCCCACAGCTGGCATCCATCACAGCTGAATCTCTGGGTCCCACGACCTAGTTAACTATGCAGCATGTAGGGGAAACTGAGGAACACACAGTATTCATACAAAATATTACAGAAAATTCCCATTCCGTAACAGCCCACAAATGTCTAATGTGCACAGAACATCCCAGGGGGAGGAGAATGCCACCCCGACCCAGGGCCCCAATTTCCCACTGCTCAGATCCAGACTGGCCCTTAGGGCTCTCAGCTCTGGGAGGGAGTTTGGGGTCCGGAGGGGTGTGTGGGAAAGGGTTTGGGGAGTGCAGGCTCTGGGAGGGAATTTGGGGGCCGGAGGGGGGGTGGGAAAGGGGTGAGGGGTGCAGGCTCGGGGAGGGAGTTTGGGGGTTGGAAGGGGGTGGGAAAGGGGTGGGGGGTGCAGACTCGGGGAGGGGGGGTGCGGAGCTCTCCTGGGGCTCCTAGGCGGGGCGGGCCGGGGGGTCTCCAGCCCAGCTGCCCCCAGGCACCGCCCCCACCGGTTCCCATTGGCCGCAGGGGGCCGGGGCCCAGACCCACCCCCAGGGGTCCGCACCCGGGCGGAGCGAGGCCCGGCGGCGGCGGCGGCGGCGGGGGGCCCGGGCTGTTTGAAATGGCCGGGGGGCAGGCACCAGGGGCCCAAGGGGGGGGTCCGCCCCCGGCGCCCCATAACCCGCCCCCCCCGGCAGGCGGGGGCCGAGTCTCGCTCACCTTTGCCCGGCGCGGGGGGGTCCCCGCGAGGAGACGGGCCGGGCCAGCAGCAGCGGGGGGGTTGCGGGACACGGGCGGGGCCGGGCTGAACGCCGCAGTGAATCCGATTCACTTCCTGCCCAGGGACCCGTTTCCACGGGACACGGAGCCCGCGGCTGCCTCCATTGTGGGCTGGGCTCACAGCCGGGCGGAGCCGCTGCTGGACCCCGCGGGGGGTGCGGGAGAGCCCGGCACGGACCCCCCCTCTGGGCCCGGCCGGGGGGACCAGCCCCGGGCTCTGCCCGCCCCAGCCCCCACCCGGAGCCCGCAGGTGAGAGATGGAGGCAGCGGGAGCCATGGGGGGGGGGAGGTTCCCGGCTCCGCTCCCCCCCCATTCCCTGCAGCCCCCCGCCCCGGGGCAGTGCCGGGACGGTGGGGGGGAGAAAAGCCAGGTCCTGCTGCTGGGGGACGCGCTGCCTGGAACAGGGCCGGGGGGTCCCCCAAAGCGGCTCTTTGGATCCTGCTCCTTTCTAGCAGTCGGCTCGGGGACTCTGTGCCTGCGAAGGGTTAATATGTGAGGCTGAGATTCAGTCGGGGTGTTTTTAGCAAAAGTCCTGGACAGGTCACAGTAATAAACAAAAATTCAGGGCCTGTGACCTGTCTCTGGCTTTTGCTATAAATCCCCCGACGGAAGCTCTAGTCCTGAGCCCCACTGCTCCCCAGGGCCCCTGCTCCAGCGGTGGGGGCTGCCTGCCCAGCAGGCTGTTGCTCTGAGGCCCCCACGGCTGCCCCCAAGCCCACTGCTCCAGCCACCCTCGGGGACGGATGCTGCTCCGGCGCTCCCCGGGGTCAGCCATACCAGCCACTTCTCAGGCGCTCCCCACAGCCAGCTGCCCGGGGCCAGGCCTGTGGCCAGCTGCACTGGCCTGTGGAAGTCACGGAATCGCAGCCTTATTGAGATGGTCTCGGTGGCTTCGGTCCTGGTGGGAGGCTTCGTGTGCGCACCACAATAAAGTGACCAAGGGTTTTCCCATCATGGCCGCGTCTCGAGCTCCTGTCTGCAGGGAAAAAGCTGGGGACTGGTGGGGAGAATGCGGTTGTGAAATGGACTAAAGCCCCGTCGGAAACCTCCGCATTCGCCCTCCCACCCTGACCGGCTGCCGAATAACACTCATGTTTCACGGCAGGTCTCTCTGTTCTCCCCGGGGAAGTGGCGGGGAAATGGCCGAGGCGTAGCTGGCTCGGGTGAGAGATTTTCAGGGGCCTGCTGGTGGGTCTGTGATGGTGGGGATAGGACGGGGCAAACCTGCTGCTACATGTCCTGCCTGAGGCCTGATTTTTGGAACGCCGCCAGGTGTGGCGGGGAGGGTGAAGGGGCCCATTTCTGAAAGTGAAAACAACTCCTTCCTGTACAGGACTGAGAAAATGGACCAGACTCCCACTGCTGCAGCCTGAACCTGTCAGCCCAAGGCTGCTGTGAAACATGAAGGGAGATGCCCTGTCTCTTCAGATCCAGCTGCTGGGAATCGAGAGATTGTTGGGATTCCTGTCCTCTGGCTAGTAGGGGTGAGATAAATGTAAGGCCCCCCGCCACCACCTCTGCAGGGGTGGGGATAAAGAGCTCTCTCTTTCCCTCCAGCCCCTGAAACCAGCTGGCTTCTCTGTGCAGGGTAGGGGTGGCTGCCCCTCCCAGAGCTTCCTCTTCTTTTGGCACTCCTCCACTATTTACAATGGGATTGTGGCTGGGGCACCAGGTTCTGAGTTTGTTACAGACAGCGGTGACCTTCGAGGAGGTGGCTGTGTATTTCACCCAGGGGCCGGGGGCTCGGCTGGACCCCGGTCAGAGAGCCCTCTACGGGGACGTCACAGAATTCTGAGACCATGACCTCGCTCGGTCAGGGATTCCTGCCCCCTTACTTATTAGAAGCTGTGGGATTTCTGATATGCCCAGTTTCACTTCTGCTCGGGGTTCTTCCATGGGCGCATCAGGGAATTGAGTCCCAAAGGCTGCAGATCCCAAGGGAAAGTGACTTTCACCTCCACACTACCACCCATGAGACAGGGGAGTCAGAGATGTAATGTAGACGCTAATTCATCCCAATCCCTCCAGCTGTCAAGAAGCATTACAGTTATCAGCGCATGTTAATTCTCATTTGCACACAAAATTCCTGCTTTCAATTCCTGAGACTTGCTCCATCTATGGAAGGGCCGTGGCTTCTGCAGGTTCAGACACAGGCAAGTGTTTCATATCAGCCGTGTCTGAGTCAGCAAGTCCCCCAGAGCATACAGATCCTGGAAATTCCTCCTTGGGATGGGACACAACCCCTGCCCCCCCATCCCCCCCCACCCTATGCAGACCTCTGCTTTTGCCAAGTGGGTTCAGTGGCCACGATCCCATCCATTTGGATTCCGTGTAACCCCCTTCATGGCGTGGGGCCCGGTTATAATCAGAGACGGTTCCTTGTGAGAAATCCTGAGTACACTCTGATCTCATCTGATTTCACCCCACGAGCAGGAGTCCCCCTACCCAAACCTGACACGGTCGCCCGGCTGGAACGGGGGGAAGAGCTGTGAGTCCCGGCTCTCCGGGGCTCTGAAGAAAGGGACATCCCAAGAGGTGCCCATGCAGGTGAGAGTTGGTGAAAGTGAGACAAACTGTCCATTAAGTGAAGGAAAAAGCTGGGTCTCTTACACAAATGTGCTGCGAGTAAGGTCCTCCGATTCTGGCTCATCTCACCCCATCCAGGGTTGTAGCCAGCAGGTACAGTACCAGGTTTACGATGGCACCGGGCCCACACTTGGAAGGGGCCCCGGTGCCTGGAATGTTACCCCTCCTGCCTCTGCCTGCATCCCCAGGCTCACCCCTGCTCAGCTTCTTCCCCCTGAGACCCTGCCTGCCGCTCTCCCCTCTCCATCCCCTGCCCCCCCGCCTGCCGCTCTCTCCTCTCTGGCCCTCCCCTAACCCCCACCTGCCGCTCTCCCCTCTCCATCCCCTGGTCCCACCCACCTGCCACTCTCTGCCCCCTGGCCCCGCCTCACCACTTGTTCCAGAAGTGACACACTGGGGGGGGCAAGTGGGGGGACAGTTGGCCCCCCCACGATTTCTGCTTGGCGGGCCATGGGGGAGGGAAAGAGGCTCTGTCCCCCCCAGGCAGCCACCACCCAGAACAGAGCGGCTGGTGTGCACAGTAGCTGGTCCTACCCCTTCCACTCCTTGCCCAGGCCTGGCTGGCAGGGACAGGGGCCAAGTGAGCCTGAAATGTGCCGGGGGTGGAGGGAGCTGCTTCTCTCTGCGCCATGGCCCCTCCCCTCACCCGCTGCTCACTCCCCTCTCCCCGCCCACTTCCTGCTCACTTCTTGCCACCTCCTGGCCTCTCCCCCTGCCCACTACTTGCTCCCCTCCACCCCCTTTCCCCCGTCGCTCACCCTTAAGGCATAGCCCTCCCTCTTTTAAAAGTGATGGGGCCATGGCCCTCTGACCCCCCCACATTGCGGCACCCCCATTGCCAGGTGTCAAGTTTTCGACCAGAAAGTCGAGGCAAAAAGGGGACCTGGCAGCGTGTGGTCAGCACTGCTGACCGGACACTAAATGTCCGGATACGGGAGTAACCTCAGCCAGCCTCCTCACCGGAGGGGCGGGAAGAGCAGCAGCTTCTGCCTGGAGGAGCTGCAGCTCAGCTGGAGAGAGAGACCTGGCTCCCAAGGACCCGGCTCCTGCAGAAGGAAGTAGGTGCCAGCCCCCGCCTTGTTGTGCTTTCCCCCAGCACCTGCCTCGCTCCAGCTGGGGACTGCCCCTCCCTGCCCCACTCCACTGTGCTCTTGCCCCGGCCCCTGCCTCGCTCCAGCTGGGGACTGACCCTTCCGCCCACCTGCCACACTGTGCTTGTCCCCGGCCTCTGCCTCACTCCAGGGACCTACCTGGGCTCCCTCCACATACACACTCTGCCCTTTCATTTTCTTTCCATGCTGCATTTGTTTCCAGGAAGGCACGTGGCATCGGAAGGTCAGCAGCGTATGTGCATCTGCACACCCTGCAATCTGCCGCAGGCGGGAGAGAGGTGCAGGGCGGGAGACCGTAAATAGAGGAGAACGAACAAACCAGTCCCAGCGATAAAGAAAATAAACGACGAAAAAACATTTACGTGGTGCTCAGAAACAGAGGCGTAGAGCAGAAGTTGAAGAGCAGAAGGCAGAACTGCATTGCATAAGCAGTTACTTCATTAATAACAGCATAGAGACTGCCGGTGACCATACTAATCCTACTAGCTGCACTAGTAGTGATGATGAGTGTGTAACTGATACTAGTACAGTGGCAGGTCCAGCCTACGTTGGACATGGTTCTGAAGATCAGGCTGTTTCTTCTGACGAAATCCTCTCATCAAAGAAAGAACCCAGTGATAACCTGCTGCTGCAAAACACACTAGTACGATTGCCTTCCTCCGATGCCGCTCTCTGGACGGTTGATGCTTTCTCCCAACAGTACTGCATAGACGTGGGCCCTAATTTCTGCCGAAATCGCGATGGAAAATATGCAATGTCATCAAGACAACATAAGGGCAGAACAAGGTAATTATAACTTTTCTATGTTTTTTTTAATACATTACTTGAGTGTTTTTTGAGATCAATTTTTCCCAGAAAGGGGTTGACGTCACTATTCATTTTGAGAGACAATTGAAATAAGCAGATTTGTGCTGTCTCTATCTAAATGTAAAAATGTACATTCTAGGTTTTGCTCACTACTGCACTGTGAGCTGCTTACTCTCTTAATGCCCCACCAGTGTGCTTGTATTCAGCAGAAATGTTGAAGAGTATTCATTAATATTAATTTTTTAATTTATTTTAGGAAACTCTGTGATACAGCCTTCAATCAAGTGTCCCCGAATGGTGAAATTATTGAAAGGCCCTGGCTCATATACTCACCATCGACTGGCTGCCTCTTCTGTTTTATGTGCAAATTGTTTTCTCCGAACAGCACATCTGCACAAGCCAAGAGAGGATTTGATTCATGGGATCACATTGGCAGACTCGGTGACCATGAAAGATCTACTGAGCACCGACAAGCTCTCACCGCTTAGACAATGCGTTTATCGAAGACTCAAGCCCTTGATAAACATACAGCAGATGGAAATATTAAAGAAAGAAATTACTGGACAGAAGTGTTGAAGCGAGTCGTAGCAACAATAAAATTTCTGGCAACACGAGGTCTGGCACTGAGCGGGACGAATGAAACCTTTGGCAGTCTTAATAATGGCAACTTTCTGGGCTGCTTAGAGCTCATAGCAGAGTACAACCCTTTCCTGGCCTGCCACATCAACAACTATGGGAATACTGGTCATGGCACAACGTCTCATCTATCATCGACAATCTGTGAAGAGTTCATTAAACTCATGGCTGTCAAGGTAAAACAGGTCATTGTGGATGAGCTAAAACTGGCTAAGTATTTTTCCTTCAGCACTGATTCCACACTAGATACGAGCCATACCGATCAGCTGACGCTTACTGTGCGCTATGTGCTGAATGACTGCACGCCCGTAGAACGCTTCTTGAATTTTGTTCCAGTTACATCGCATACAGGTCTTCATCTGTTTAATGTCATCAATGGAACCCTGAATGACAAACTAAATATCAATCTAAAGGACTGCAGAGGTCAAACATAGGACAGGGCTAGTAACCTGTCCAACACTTACTCCGGTGTGCAAGCTCGGGTAATTGCAGGCAACGAGAAAGCAGTGTACATCCCATGCATGACCCACTCACTCTACCTACGTAGCGTTGCAGCTGCAGAGTCATGCACAGATGCAATTACATTTTTTCGCTTTATCCAAAACCTGTATGTATTTTTCTCAGGATCGACTTATCGCTGGGGGGGCCTCTTGCGAGATTCTCTGCACAAGGAGACATGTGAGGCCAGTAAGAGAGAACTTTTCCCGAAGCGCCTCAGTGACACAAGGCGGCCAGTTCAAGCGGGTGCACTTTGCAGTTTATCGTGCAACTACAAATCTGCTGCAGGCTCTTGGTGCGGACACGCTGCAGAATGGCTACACACGAGCAGAGGCAAACTCTCTTCAGCTGGAACCATGGCTCGGTTGGAGACTGCATTTATGACAACGTTTTGGAGTAGTGTCCTGACAAGAGTAAACAAAACAAGTCAACTTCCGCAGTCTGAAACAATGGACTCGGGCGGAGCTGTGACACTGCTGAAGTCACTCTCTGAGTTGCTGGCAGCACCACGGAATAGCTTTGAGGACTACCATGAATCTGCAATGTCTTTACGTTCTACAGCTAACTTCCAGTTAAAGCAGCAACATCATCCAAAGCGTGTGGCTGATGATAGCGAAGAACCTGCTGTCGTGCTGACTGGTGAAGAGAAGTTCAAAGTTGAATCATTCTACGCCATAGTTGACTCACTTGGCAGCCATCTCAACAGAAGATTTCATGCATATTCAGAAATAAACAACCGTTTCTGTTTTTTAACGGGTGACCTTGACAGTACTGCTGTTAAAGAGTCTCTCAGAAGTTTAACTGAATTCTATTCAGGTGACCTCAATGAAGAGATCTTTGATGAATGGGTACAGTGGTGCTCACTGGTAAAGCAACTTGCCTCCAAGCCGTTATCACAAGCTCTGCCTACACCACTGCAAATGCTGACCATAATGAACACGCAGAATTTGCAAACAGTCTTTCCAAATGTCTTTGTTGCGCTTCACATTTACCTGACACTCCCAGTCTCAAACTGCGGTGGTGAAAGGTCTTCTTCACATTTAAAAAGGATAAAAAGTGCTTTACATGCTACAATGATTCAAAAAAGACTTAACAGTCTTACTCTGTTATCCTTTGAATTGGGGATAGTAAACTCTGTAGGCTTTTCCAATTTAATAGAAATGTTTGCTGCTGCAAAGGCACGCCGAAAAATCTGAAGACGTTTTTCATCTCTGTAAATAGTCCAATAGCTACATGCAGTGGTTTGGTTGAGTGAGTTATTCACATTCATACTTGCTATGTAATATGCAAATTACTTATCTGAAGCAAGGCAAGTATGAATGACACTGTAAATATATGCATCCGATGAAGTGAGCTGTAGCTCACGAAAGCTTATGCGCAACTAAATTTGTTCGTCTCTAAGGTGCCACAAGTACTCCTTTTCTTTTTGTCTTCCGACAGTGGCCAACGCCACGTGCCCCAGAGGGAATGAACAGAACAGGGAATCATCAAGTGACAGACGCTCTTGCAGCCCCTCCTGGAAGAATCAGGGGGAGGGAGGGGATTTTATATATATTTTACAAATGACTAGAAACGCTCTCACAGCTGGCAGATTTCCTGTGGCGGGACTCACACCCAGAGCACGATTTGGCCCTTAACCTTTGTCTCCATTGCAGTCCAACCTCAGCGAGGCAGGTGTGAAAAGGGAAACAAATAAAAACACAACCCACCTTGTCGCCAGAGGCCCAACCCCCAGCTGCAAATATCCCCCATGCTATAGAGCAGTGGTTCTCAACCAGGGGTACATGTATCCCTGGGGGTACGCAGAGATCTTCCAGGGGTTACATCAACTCGTCTAAATATTTGCCTAGTTTTTCTACAGACTACGTAAAAAGCCCTAGCGAAGTCAGTACAAACTAAAATTTTATAGAAACAGTAACTTGTTTATACTGCTGTATACTCAGAGTGCCAACTCTGAACATGGACCCCCCCTGAACAAATATCCTTCCCAAACCCCAGCTCTGAAACCCCCTCCTCCCAAAAAAACCCCAGTCATTGCTCCTAATGTTCAGAACACCCCCTCAGTGGCTGATACCTGTCCCTGTCCCTCCCTCCCCCCCCCCCCCACCCCACAGACGCTCTTCCTCTGGACAGAATGGGTGGGGGTGGGGGAATGTTCTGGGTCATGGTGCTGGATGCCTCTGTTGTGGTGCTGGAGTGATTTCAGCCAGTCCTCGCTGGGGACCCCCCATAGTCACCCTGAGGCCCTGAATCCTGCATAGGGGCCTGGAGCCCTGTGCAATGGGGCAAGCCCTCTGCTGCTTCCTAATAGCTGCTACAGCTGCTAAACTGGGGCAGACCCATGGGGAGCAGAGATGGGGCAAGGTGCAGAGTCATTTCCCTGCCCGGCCCCAGCCCTTTGCCCCGGAGCTCTCCCCTCGCCTGCAGGCTCCAGCTCTGGGGCTGGTGTGGGCAGAGCCCGGGGCTGGTTCCAGACACTGCAGAAAATCTCCCCCGCTGGGCACAGAGCGGGGTTAATGCAGATCTCTCCCCGCACACACCTCGGCTCAGCCCCGGCTCCTGGATCACAAGGAACGGAGCAGGAGCCAGCAGCAGCAGCAGTATTTGACCTAGGAAGTAAAAACCCCAGAAAACTTGTCTCTCTCCTCTCTGTGCAGTAATCAGAGCCCGAATGACATAGCCTCCTTCCTCGTCCCCGCCTCAGGGCAGACACCGACCTCATCTCCTCCAGATCTGGAGTCAGACCCTGTCCTTCCTTGCTGTGAATCTGAATTGACACCAGTCTTTTACTGAGACCAGAATCTAACCTGGGTATGTGGCCCAGGAGGCATGAGGCCAAGACCTTTTTTCAACGTTGCCTACCCTGGAGATTTAGTATTCAGCAGTTGGTCCTCAAAATCATGAATGGTTTCAGAGGAACAGCCGTGTTAGTCTGTATTCGCAAAAAGAAAAGGAGTACTTGTGGCACCTTAGAGACTAACCAATTTATTTGAGCATGAGCTTTCGTGAGCTACAGCTCACTTCATCAAATCATGAATGTGGCTTAAACCACAAAAATTTGGAGCAGAGGCCAGGGAAGGGGTGGGGGGCAATTTGCCTTCTAGTTTTTGAGATTTTGGAGGAAAGCTGCCCACCTGCAAAGCATGTTTGAGCATTTCAGATTCAAAATTCCCCAATGGTTGTTTGCAGGGGACATCTCTTAGCCCACAGATCCCCAAACTGTGGGGTGCACCCCTTTAGGGGGCACAGAGGAATGTTTGGGGGGGGAACACAGCAGGGCCTGAGCCAGCCCGCATAGGAGGTGGGGCAGGAGAGCCACCCAGCCACACTCCACCCCCAGCTCTCCTTTGTCCCCCGCCCCAGTCCTGCCCCCAGCCTCATCCCCCAGTCCTGGCTCTGTTCCTGGCCCCAGACCTTCCCCCGGCTGTGGGCCTCAGTGCCCTTACCCCTGCCTGTGCCCCTGCCCGCCATATCCTGGCTCCGAGGGGTGGGGGGGAGCAGAGAGGGGTTAGGGGGTGCAACTCTGAAAAGTTTGGGGACCACTGCCTTAGCCTCTCCTATCCCCTGGGGTGCGGGAGCTGCCATGGTCTCCCTCCCCACTTTCCTCATTTATGCTTACTACCCTGTCTCTCTAGTTTCCCCATCCGGTCTCCTTTTGCACTCGGTCTCCTCTCCTGCCATTTCCCTGCCTTTTCCCTTCACGGTATCCTACCCCTCATTTCCCCTTTCTGCCGACCTGATCTCTGTGGCCACCTCATCTTCCCCCACCCCTCCTCTGCACATTCATGTTGCCCCCCACATCCTCCTGTGGTGATTCCTTTTATTCTGTCCAGTGTCCCTTCTGTATCCCCTACTTCCCCATGCCTCTCTCAGCCTCTTCCTGCCCCGACATCTTTATATGCCCCCTCAGCCTCCTGCAGCTCTTCAGTGTTCTTCCTGATCCCCATCCTTAGGCATGGAAATGCAGCCAGCTCTCCTTAGGGCAGCTTGGCTTCCACTCTCATATCGTGAATGGGAAATGAGGGTCACGTTGAATAGGTGACAGGTTTCAGAGTGGCAGCCGTGTTAGTCTGTATCAGCAAAAAGAACGAGGAGGACTTGTGGCACTTTAGAGACTAACAAATTTGTTTGAGCATAAACTTTCGTGGGCTAAAACCCACTTCAACAGATGCATGCAGTGGAAAATACAGTAGGAAGATCTATATATTCATAGAGAACATGAAAAATATGGGTGTTGCCATACCCACTGCAACAAGAGTGATTCATTAAGGTGAGCCTTTACCAGCAGGAGAAAAAAAAACTTTTGTGGTGATAATCAGGATGGCCCATTTCCAACAGTTGACAAGAAGGTGTCAGTAACAGCAGGGGGAAAAAATAAGCAAGGGGAAATAGTTTTCCTTTGTGTCATGACCCAGCCACTCCCAGTCTTTATTCAAGCCTAATTTAATGGTGTCCAGTTTACAAATTAATTCCAGTTCTGCAGTTTCTTGTTGGAGCCTGTTTTTGAAGTTTAGTTGTTGTAATATTGCGACTTTTAGGTCTCTAATCGAGTGACCAGGGAAATTGAAGTGTTGTCCGACTGGTTTTTGAATGTTATAATTCTTGACGTCTGATTTGTGTCCATTTATTCTTTTATGTAGAGATTGTCTGGTTTGGCCAATGTACATGGCAGAGGGGCATGTACATTGCATAGGGGAAAATTTATAAGTTAGTTTCCAGGGAATGTGAGATCCTGTGGCGCTCGCAGGCACCAGAAATAAGAACATAAGAATGGCCACACCAGGTCAGACCAAGGGTTCATCTAGCCCAGTATCCTGTCTTCCAACAGTGGCCAATGCCAGGTGCCCCAGAGGGAATGAACAGAACAGGGAATCATCAGGTGATCCATCCCCTGTCGCCCATTCCCAGCTTCTGACAAGCAGAGGTTAGGGACACGATCCCTGCCCATCCTGGCTACTAGCCATTGATGGCCCTAGCCTCCATGAATTTGTCTAGTTCTTTTTTAAACCCTGTTGTGGTCTTGGCCTTCACAACACCCTCTGGCAAGGAGTTCCACAGGTTGACTGTGTGTTGTGTGAAGAAATACTTTTGGTTGATTTAAACCTGCTGCCTATTGATTTCATTTCGTGACTCCTAGTTCTTGTGTTATGAGAAACAGTAAATAACACTTCCTTATTTCCTTTTTCCACACCAGTCATGATTTTATAGACCTCAATCATATCCTACCCTTAGGCATCGCTTTTCCAAGCTGAAAAGTCCCAGTCTTATTAATCTCTCCTCAAATGGAAGCTGTTCCATACCCCTAATGATTTTTGTTGCCCTTTTTTGGTACCTTTTCCAATTCCAATATATCTTTTTTGAGATGGGGTGACCTCATGTGCACGCAGTGTTCCAGGTGTGGGCGTACCCTGGATTTATGTAGAGGCAATGTGATATTTTTTGTCTTATTATCTGACTCTTTCGTAAAGATTCCCAACATTCTGTTCCCTTTTTTGACGGCTGCTGCACATGGAGTGGATGATTTCATAGAACTATCCACAGTAACTCCTATGTCTCCGTCTTGAGTGGTAACAGCTCGTTTAGACCCCACCATTTTATATGTATAGCTGGGATTATGTTTTCCAATGTGCATTACTTTGCATTTATCAACTTGGCTAGATTTGCTATACAACCATGAGAGTTGGGAACTCTGGAAGGTGGAGTCACCTCACATGCAGGGTAAAGCCTCAGGGCAGCTGTTTTCCCTCCAAAATCAGTTCCTCCAGTTTTAAAGTGGGGAGGGGAAAAATCTGAGGGGATTTTATATCACTATTTGATAAAGGAATCGAAAGATATCGCCTCGCTTTTCCTACCATTTACATGGGCAGTGGGGAGCCCTAGGGTGACGCAACTTCATCGGCTGGGAGGGGAGGATGGAGAAAGAAGGTTCTGGAAATTTCCAAGCCCCGTCTGTAGAACAGAACAGCTGCCATCTTCCTTCATATTACCATGTCTCAGCAGTGGAAGCGTTCATTGATCCTGTGTGCTGCCGGGAGCTGCAGGGACTCAGTCACACACAGAGCGGCCCCTTCTGGAAAGCGGACCTCTCGTCTCGCAGGATCTGAGGCAAAAGAAAAACCAGTCTGTCAGGGCCTAGCCAGTTGCCCCATAAGCAGCTGGAAGACACCATTCCCTCAAGTGTGGCTTTGATGCTCATTAAACATGGAGAAGGTTACGTTCATCTGCAGACATGTCAGTGTTAATGGATGCATGCGGGGAAGAATTTAATCTGAAAATGTGAGGAGGAAAGTTGATCACAGGTGTGCTGTCTCAAGGCAACAGATTCCTTCCAAAATAAGAAGGTGCTGTAGATAAAAATAGTGAGAAATGCCCCCAAATTTGAGGATATTTTTACATCAACATTCTATAAAAAGTTAATAAACAGGCAAAATATGAAGGCATTACATATCAATATTCAATAATTAGAAGGAACTGGCAAAATTTGAAGATATTTGATATCGGTGCTTAATAACTAAAGAGAAAAGAGTGGAAATTTGGGGAAATTTATATTGCTATTTGACCATAAAGGGGCAAAATCTGAAAAGATTTTAGATCAACATTCAAGCATTTAATAAGGAAACAAGTATAATCTGAGAGTTTACATTGCTATCAGTTAATTAGAGAGAAAAGGGACAAAACTGAGGATACTAAATCAATGATAGATAATTAGAGAGAAAATGGAGCAACATTTTAGGGCATCTTGTGTCAGTATTTGACAATGCTCCATAATATGAAAGAAAAGCAGGAAGATTTGAGGGGATTTTATGTTGATATTCAATATTGGGAGATGTCAGGGTTCCTTCCCCACTCTGAACTCTAGGGTACAGATGTGGGGACCCGCATGAAAGACCCCCTAAGCTTATTCTTATCAGCTTAGGTTAAAAACTTCCCCAAGGTACAAACTTTGCCTTGTCCTTGAACAGTATGCTGCCACCACCAAGCCTTTTAAACAAAGAAAGAGACCACTTGGAGACGTCTTCCCCCAAAATATCCCCCCCAAGCCCTACACACACCCTTTCCTGGGGAGGCTTGAGAATAATATCCGAACTAATTGGTTACAAAATCATCAAAGACCCAAACCCCTGGATCTTGGAACAATGGGAAAATCAGTCAGGTTCTTAAAAGAAGGGTTTTATTAAAAAAAAAAGGTAAAAATCATCTCTGTAAAATCAGGATGGAAAATACTTTACAGGGTATTCAGATTCAAAACACAGAGCATCCCCCTCTGGGCCAAACTTTAAAGTTACAGAAAACAGGAATAAACCTCCCTCTTAACACAGGGAAAATTCACATAAAACAAAAGAGAAACCAATCCGCCTTGCCCAGCTTACCTATACTGGTTGCAATATTGGAGACTTGGATTAGGATGGGTTGGAGAAGATGGATTTCTGTCTGGCCTCTCTCAGTCCCAAGAGAGAACAACCACATAAACAAAAAGCACAAACAAAAGCCTTTCCCCCGCCCAAGATTTGAAAGTATCTTGTCCCTTTATTGGTCCTTTGGGTCAGGTGCCAGCCAGGTTAGCTGAGCTTCTTAACCCTTCACAGGGAAGAGGATGTTGCCTCTGGCCAGGAGGGATTTTCCAGCACTGTATACAAACAGGTGGTTACCCTTCCCCATATATTTATGACAGGAGAGAGAAGGGAAAATCCGAGGGAGTGTTAGATCAACATTCAGTACATAACTGGAAAGTGCTTGTTCCCCCAGCCCTGCCATTAACATGGGCAGCAGTGAGCCCTGGGCGATGCTGTGTTAACAGGGGCTGGGGGCCAGAGGGAGGTGTGGAGCCAGGAGGTCCCATGACAGTTGGGAGGGGGAAGAAGTGGGATGGGGCAGATGATCGGCATCGGTGATTGGGGGGCAGCTGGGCTGTAGGGAGTAGAAGTTGTGACTGGGCAAACTGGGGCTAAGCAATACATTAATGTTCAATAAATTGTATAAAATGGGGTAAAATCTGTAAAGAACTGTACATAAATATTTAATAATTCGTTGGGAATTTAATACCCGTTTCACAGGACAGCTATCCTGTTAGTCATGGGCAGGCACTGTTCCCCCAACCAAGACAAGGCTTCTGGCTTTTATTTTTATTCAGTATATTCTGGGGTGGTGGCAACGGACTGTCTTCTGACCCTCACCTGGGATAGCGACTGAGGGCAACACCAGGGAGACGTCGCCGCAGAGAAAAAGAGGGCAGGGCTGCAGCCCAAACTCCTTGGCTATTTTATGTGGGCATTTGAGAAATAGCAAGAAAATTGGGCAAAATCTAAGGGGAAATAAGAGGAAAATGTTCATTAATTGGAGAGAAAAGGGCAAAGATCTGGCTGGATATCCATACTGGACAATTTGCATGAAGTGGGGAAGAAATGGAGATAATTTTTAGTTGATAGTTGTGATAGACGTGGCAAAATCTGAGCAGATTTAATTTCAATCCAAGAGGGAAAATGGTGAAATGTGAAGGTGGAGACTAATATGCAGCAATTTAATGTTCAGGAGACTGTCCCCTTTTGGGCTTCTCTGGGGGTTCTAGCAGAGGCCTGACAGGGTCTTGGAGTTTCTCCCTCCTAAAAAGCACCTGTTCTGCTTGCTTTCTCCATCAGCAACAGATTCCCCCCAGATAAGGAGAAACTGCCCCAGTTCAAAGGGGAAAACAACTCTGAGGAGATTTCATGTCCATACTTGATAATCAGAGGGGAAAGGGCAAAGATTGGACAGAGCTGACATTAACAGTTAATTAAATAGAGAGAACAGATAAATGTGATGGGATTTTATATCCTTATTCAATAATGAGAAAACAAAAAGATTAACCTAGAACATAAGAACGGCCAGACTGGGTCAGACCGGTGGTCCATCTAGCCCAGTATCCTGTCTGCCGACAGCGGCCTATGCCAGGTGCCCCAGAGGGAATGAACAGAACAGGTCAGTTTATCCAATGATCCATCCCCTGCCATCCAGTCCCAGCTTCTGGCAGTCAGAGGTTTAGGGACAGCCAGACATCTGACCATCTTGGCTAACAGGCTGGATGGACCTATCCTCCACAAACCCATCTAATTGTTTTTTGAACCTAAGTTACGCCTGAGGGCTAGAAACTCAGATCCCTCCCCCGGGGTGCATTCACAACCAGGGAGCAGATTCCCGGGGGACTGCCAGATCTGGGGGATCCTTTGTGCAGAGAGTCACTTTCCTGCCCAGTCCCAGCCCTGTCCCTATCACCCGGCTGCCGTGCAGGCAGAGCCCGGTGCAGGGGCTGGGTCCAGCCGCCGCAGAAAGTCCCCCCCAGCCGGTCACAGAGGGGGGTTAATGCCGGGCTCTCCCCGCTTTTCCCATCTCCCACTTCCTTCCTCCCAGCAGCACCACCAGCTGCTGTCAGCTGATTCAGCCCCTTCCCGTGTCCCCCAGTAGCCACCTGCCTGCAACAACACTTGCTGCTGGGACCTGGGACTTTCCCAGGCTGGCAGTACCGGGTTTACCATGGTGCCGGGCCCAGTGTCAGAAGGGGCCCCAGCCAGCCCGATCCCCCGCCTGGCTGAGCCGGCCAGGAAAGCTGCCCCAGCCCCTGCTCCGCCACGCCTTTTCCCACCCCTGCTCCACCCCTGCCCCACCCCTACTCTGCCCCTTCCCCCCCAAGCCCCTTCCCCTGAGCTACATCCCAGGGGACTGCAGCAGGGGTCAGGCCCACCCTGCACTCACCGGGCAGCAGGAAGTGGAGTGACCTGGCGCCAACCTCCTCCGCTCTGCCAGCTCCTGCTGGGGGGCAGTTTCCCCCCTGCTCCCCAAGCCTGGGGAGGAGATGTAGTGGTGGGGAAGGGGCATGGGATGGGGAAGAGAAGGGGATGGGGGAAGGGGGGCCTAGCATGCAGATCCCCTTGGCAGAAGCTGGGGCTCCCTTGTTCAGCAGGCTGATCAAACCCTCACCCTGACAAACCCTACCTCCCCTGCATCTGTACCACCCTGATGAGTCCCCCATACTCCCTCCCCACTGAGTCCCAAACACCTTCACCTGGATCCCCTGCAGAGTCCCATTGCGCCCGCACTTGGAAACACCCCCCCCCCATGAGCTTCTGTGTATCCAGATCTCCCACTGAG